GCATTAATGGTTTTACATCAACAGTCACAATGCTGATCTATAAGCTGACATAACCATCTTTCACAGCAAAACAAGTCCTTTCAGAACCACTTCATTTTGGGCACCACCTTTCCCTTCATTATATATAAACAGCAAAACAGCTGTCAACTCCTAAACTCACTCAAATGTCCTATTTAATTAGGTTTTGGGTTGCAGCATAACCACTTTCTAAGGTTAATCCTGAATAGGCATTATGATTGATAATCAACAAAAACAGCCATGAAAAGAAATTTTAAAATTGCAGATAGAGTTTGCAGAAGTAATAGGAATTGTGTTAGTAATTACTGAGACAATAAATTTATCACTGCTCATGGTTTATCCTTAAACCACAAAAGGCAAGATCAGACCCTGTGAGTAATCTAGTCCAGTGGAGCTGAAGTTTATCAGGAAAGCAAACAAATCATATAAACACGTTAGTTAACTGCTTAATTGCTTGGTCATATCTCAATCTTTAAGTCATATGGAAGACAGGCAATTTAGATATAAAACATACTAGTTTTGTTTATTTACAAAGGGAGTACATTTTGACCATGGGCTCTCCCTAAAAAATATCAAAAGAAGCTCAGCTGGAGTTCCAATGACCATGTTATTTCTAAAAGCAGACTTCTAAACTTGCGTACAGCATCAGCAATGGGAAGAAATATTGCACTTAGTGATACTGGGTTAAATTGACAGACTTTGCCAAATTCCAAATCACAACCAGAGATCTAAATCATTATTTTCTTGCCCAGATATGCTGTTTAGTTAAACAGCTGAAAAACAATTTTTTACAGACAGCAAAAATAGAAGTTTTGTGCAGGAAAAATGCTGGATCCTTGTACCTGTGAAAATAATATGGTTTTGCTAATGTAATTATGGATTACTTTAAAAAATTAGGTATTTCAGCATACTTCAGCATTTGACTCTCAAAAGTCTGTTAACATACTTTATGTGATTTTAAAAATTACATTGACCTTTGCAAACTATTTTGATGGTCAACCATGCTTTAAGTCTTTGATATTCAGTAATAGAAGTTCTCAGGCAAGAAAAGCACCATGTCTTTGCCTGTGAAATCCCTCTCATTTTTTAGTGAGTGTTGCATCCCTTCCTCCATCTGCAGCCCCAAAAGCTGAGCAGTGCAGGAGCTCCATAACGAGACCCCAAGGAGCAGCAGCAATGATCCTGAAGCTGCCACCAGACCAAGGGCACAGCAGGATCTGCCTGCTGGGGATGTGGGTGGAGAGGGCACATGAAAGGGTAGAAGGCAGCCTGGGCTCCTCCACAGCCAGATCCAACTCCAACTTCCTCCTACAATTGCCTTCTTCCCTGCAGATGCCACTCTGTGCTCAGCTCAACTGTGCTCCGGTGCTGAAGGTTCAAACACTATTAAACAACAATGCCTTGTAAGAATTCAATAGTTTGTTTCCTACAACTTCCAGTAAAACTTCTATGAAATAAAATAAGGATTAAAAGCCTAATGTTTTAAAAACGCACACTAAAAATTAAGGAAATGCCATTTTTTAAGATCACACAAGAAAGATTAGTTCAACCCTGTGTACATGCCTCATGCTGTTACAATTGCCCACTCACCTTTTCTCCAGAGCAGCTTGATCTTACTCAGTAATTAGGACAAATTTATGAGAAGATGGAGTAATAACCACTCATGCCACAGAACCCTGGAACGTGACGGTGGTTTATTTCCATTGATTTGCAGTCTGAATACTGTGTATGGGTTTCCTTGTGTGAACAGATTTTAAATACTAACTCCAGAAAAAAATGGCTGAAGAACAACATTGCTGAATCTTTTTATCCATTAATAGTATAAACTTGTTATAAAAAAGATTATAAATTAAAACTGAACAGGAAATATGAAAGCCACTTTTCTTTTTCAACAGAAATACACATGTACTTGTTACAAATTAGCCTGTATGTCAGTAAAAATTCAAAGTTTAAATTTTTTGCTTCTTTTAAAAGTTCTGATGACTATACAATTGCATTTGGCAGAGCTGATTCTTTTTAAACCATTACTATCTCACTGTATGCTGTGTATTTTCACACAGCCATGCAATTCTGGAATGGGACAATCTTTTTAACAATGAGGCTCCGGAATTTTTTTCATTTCACATAATTTTGCACCAACATCCTTCGAACGCTTATCACTGCCTATCAATAAACTGTTGAATAAATATAAAAGAGTATAAGCAAATCATAAGCAAAAAACAGTTATTGCCAGGTACTTGTCTCTGTTGTGAGATACTTATCATTTTCTGCTTGGATTCAGAAGCTATGCATGAGCACACTGATAAATCACTAAAACAAAATTGAAATTTTATCCTCAAAAATCCTACCAACTAATCCTGACATCATAAAAGCAAAAGCAGACAGTAGAAATATTTGTATTCAGGTGATTTTGTACCTATATAAGAAGTACTGAAACACACCTTTATTTACAAGTTGAGTTAATGTAAAAGATTTATCTTGCACACATGTAATGTATCTGCCATACAACAGGACAGATAAACCACAGTAGTTGGCATTAGACAACTTCTATTTCCTAAGAAAGTTACTAAGCACAAAGTGTCATCCACTTAACTTTCTGAAGAGCAAGCCCTTGGCTGAAATGGAAAACAGTGATGCTTACATAAATTTCCCTTTCCTACCTGCCCATCACCCTTATTTTTAGATTCCTTCATTGCAAACCAATGCAGTTCTTGCAAACCTTGCTTCATGTAACAAAATCCGTTCAACACACATGACAATTTTAACAAATCCCTTGCATATTTAGTGACAGAATGTCATGGTCTTGGCAACCAAAGGAACTCCTGAAATGCAGCATCCAACATGTCAACTAATTCACAACTGTGTTATAAAATTCAAGCAAAGGTTGCATCACAAAGCTTATGCTCCCACCAACTGAAGTTCACAGTAGCTTGGTTTAGAATTAAAGCATTTTCTACTGATTTATAGAACTGTACAAGTGGCATACTGAAAATTAAGCTCTTTTTCTGACTTATTGTCAATAATAAAAAGTCTGTTGACCAAAGTCCCCAGACAGGTCTAAGAATTAATTGTATTATGTAAGTGATTAGCCAAGGTTAAAATAATTGGGCACTGAAATTATGATCCAGGACAATGTCTGTCCTTCCCTTGTTACTGGAATTGTTGAAGACAGGACAGTAAAGGAAAACTTGCATCTACCTCTGCTTTTGCTGGGGGCAAGAATAGTGTTACAAGCAGTTTTGTAAAGCTCTGTCCACATCAGGATCACTGCTTCCATAAAATTTGTCCACAAAACTGCCTCTACTCCTGTTCAAACAAGACACCACTAGCTCACATCTGAACCTAGTGTCTCAGCTGAACTTTAAACACTACAGCTATTAAAAAACAACACCACCACTTTACATATGTCCAAAACATCTGAAATGCCATTTTTGTAGTTTCCTTTTAGACAGAGAACATAATGCAAGCTGCAAAAACAAGTGCCTTGTTACACGCTTCAGCAATACACCCTCCATGTCTTTGCAAACTAGTTCAACAAGTAACCTAGTTTTTCCAAATTCCCTAAAGTTATCTGCATGCCCCTGTGACTCATGCAGAAGATAAATTGCTGAGGAACTCTGTGGGAACCCATCCCAGGGTTGTTTTTTAGCACTGCTTTGTTTATTTGTGATATTTTAGTATCATTTTTATCACACAGAGTGAACACTATGCTGTATCAATCCTTTAATGCTTAGCTTACTGAGCATTTCTAAGGTTTGTGTTGCAAAACACAAACAAAATTTGTGATCACAATTCATGATACAGCCAAAAATAGTAATTTCAGAAGACTTAAAATAAATGTGTTTGGGACTTTTTAAAGTTTAGGATAGTCACAACTTTGAATTAATTAATCACATCCAAACCAAAGCCTAAGCAGCCTCAATAAAATGTTTTTGATCAGTCAACACATCACTGATACTTAGTGATGCTGCATTAATACCTTCACTTTTAGAGTCATGTGAGTAGCCATTTTCCCCATAAACTACCTCTGCTCCTTATGAACACATCCATGACTGCATCTTTGCTGTGCTCTCACCTCAAAACTCAGCTTTCCAAAGATTCGTGGGTTAAGCAGTAGTAGACTAGAAACCCGGGGGGTTTTCCACCACTGTTTGCACTCTAAAGAAAAAGGACAAATGGGTGTAAAGAGAACAGGAAAAATATTCTATTTGCCAATATTTTAAAAACAACATAATATTTAAATCTACTCTTTGTACCTCATAAACCAGTAACAAATCAGCAGCTCCATCACATGAGCTCAACTAAGACTGATGCATTTTAGCTGTTTAGTTACTTTTTAATTGTAACTTTAACCCAGAACCCTTCTGTTGAGGATGAAGCCCTTTACTATTTTGAGATGAGGGACTGGTTTGTAAACACATTTTAACAACTTGCAAGGCATTTCCATCTTGTGAGGGGAGTAGAAAGCTGCATCTCCCTATGGCATTACTTATATTTGAGTGACAAGAAGGTGCCAAGGCATCACTACTGGCAGGACAAATCTCAAGCAAGTTTGGGGTTAATTGCAGGATGCAGGTTCCCAAATAGCAATGTCCAAATCCAAGTGTGCACAGTCCAGCAGAGAGCTGGCTCTCCACCAACCCTGGTGTCACCCCCTCATTAACTATGCTTGAGAACTGCTCCTCTAAGGCATGTTAATAGAGAAAATTGTTTCTCACTAGCAAATAGATATACCAAGATCTCTTGCAGTAAGAAAACAATTACAGATATTCAATTGTCTTTAAATGCTTGCATTTCTTTCTTTTACATATTGACAGACACCAGAATTATCAGTGGTTCACATCTATAAAGTACCATGCCCCTTCTTCCCACCTCTTAATAGGGGAGACTAAGGCAGGGAGGCTAAATAAAAGGTCCTGTAAACCCACCCACAATTCTTCCCCACACACAGGAATGCACAGGGTAGAAAAGAAGAGCACAAGTAAAATTATATTCTTTATTCATTCCATTTTAGCTGTGAATATTCCTATTATACAAATACAGTATAAATTCCAAAATCACAATATATTACAAAATAAAAAAGTACAAACTGCATTACTTAATAAATATATCTAACAAGTTAATCAGAAAGTAGAAGAGACAGAATCCAGATTGGAGACATTTAAATGTTTGACCCAGCAAACCATACAAACCTCAATTTAACTATTTTTTTCTTTTAAACCATAAACCATTCCTGACTTCTTGATTAGAAAATAAAGTCACATGAATAAAATGTTGTGATCAGATAATGACTTGTTGGTGAAACACCAGTGCCAAAAAAGAAGCAGGGCTTATACGAAAGACACCATAACCCCAGAAACAAGAACACAAACACTGAGGTGCAGCCAAGGCAATTACTGCCAAAGCAGGAGACTATTATCTAGTCACAACATTCTATTGCAAGTTAATGTTCTGTTATTATAGATAAATAATATAAACGGAGCGGAGAGTGAGCCAACCAGGCAACAGGAGGCCAGTTTACTCAAAACAGTAATTAAAAACAGAAGAGTCAATTGCTCCCTGCTCTGTTCACGTGTAGCTGCATTCCAACTGGCTCAAAGGACCTGTTCTGTGCTCCAGGCAGAGAAAGCAACTGTTCCTAAAAGCAGTCTGTTCTCACTTTGCCACACTTTTACAAAAGCCATTATTTTAATTTTGCAAGAAAATACCCACAATATTTTCATCAACTAGGGGGGTCAGTTTGACATCATCTTCATTTGGTAAAAATATAAGGTTTATGGGTAAAAAACACAGCAAAAAATAGCTGTTACATCATAAGCCTTATTTACAAAAACTGTTTACAAACGTTTTTGGCTGTACAGCTGAAAGCCAGATACTAATGTAAGATGTAGAAGATGGAGGTAACAGTTTAAAAATAGTGTGCAAAAAATACATTCTTATAGAAAACAGACAGTGAGGAGGGGAGACACAAACATACACAGAGAAAATCTGCTTGCAAAGAACCCGAGGCTAAGTTTTTACAACAGAATATTACAACTACGTCTGTATTTATCCCCCGCAACCTACAGTCTTTCTCCGTCGGGGGTGCTGCTGCTTCATTAAGGATTAAGGCATCACCATCACAGCCAGCACACCTCTCTGTCAGTCCCTGCAGCCAAGCTCCCGGCCCGGGCGCTCTCATGAGCAGGCATTCTGCTCTATGTACATCTTGGACAAGGACACCGCCATGGACTTGGCCAGCTCCTCATCCCGCCTGCGCTGTACCTGAGTCTGTCTGCACCACGCCTCGTACTCTGGGTTGGGGCACACGCGGTCCAGCACAGCATCGTAGTGCCCATTGCTAAGCCAGCTCAGCCAGATACTGGGCCGTGTCGGGTCCTCGGGCCCCAGGTAGTGAACCATGGTGGAAACGGTGGGGCTCTCGGGCCGGCCGCCCGTGGTCAGGTGGATGTTCACGTTCAGCATCTGTCCCATGGCCAGCAGCTCCGGGTAGCCGGCCCAGGCCCCGTCCTGGGCGGCGCCGATGAGGAACTCTCCCACGTCGCCCTCGATGATGGGGTTGAAGTGGTCCAGGTGGTCGGCGATGTAGTGCACGGTCTGCTCGCGGAGCTCGCCGTGCAGCCGCTGGTCCCCGTACACCGCCTTGCAGACGGCGCGGTACAGGCAGTTCCCGTCGGGGATGATGTGGAAGCGGAACCGGCCCTTCTGCCGCAGGTACTTGTCCTGCTTCTCCACCTCGGCGAGGTACAGCGCCAGCTTCTCGCTGCGCTCCGCTCTGCCGCCGGGCCCCCGCCGCACGTCGGGCCCCGCCGCCGCCTCCTCCTCCTCGCCGCGCGCGGCGGGGCCGCCGGGCTGCGCGGGGCCCCCGCTCCGCTCGGCGGGGCCGCAGCCGGGGACCAGCCCGGGCTGGGCTCCGGCGGCCGCCGCCTGCAGCGCCTGGCAGTGCTCGCTGAGCCGCAGGCTGCGGTTGCTGGGCTCCTCGGCGGCGGCCTCGCCGTCGCCCCCGGCCTGCCGCACGCTCTCCAGGATGCCCTCCAGCCAGGCGCGGCTGCGCGGCGAGCCCGGCACCAGCTCTCCGGCGGCCTCGGCGCGCTGCACGATGCGGATGGGCACGATGCGCTCCAGCGGCCGCCGGCGGCTGACGGTGACCTGCGCGCAGGAGCTGAACTGCGGGCCGCCCGCCGGCCGCCCGGCCGGGCCCGCCGCGGGGCCGCTCGGCATCACCTCCAGGCAGGACGAGAAGGCGGGCATGGCGGCGGCGCTGCTGCTGCTGCTGCCCCCCGCGGGAACGAAGCTGTCCTTGCCGGAGCTCTCGGCGGCCGCGTTCGGGCCCGCGGACTCGGCGGCGCTCGGTGCCTCCGCGGCGGAGGGTCCCGGCGACAAGGAGACCTTGAAGACGGCGGCGGAGCTCGGCGAGGCCGCGGCGGCTGCTGCGGTGGCGGCCGCCGGGTAGTGGGTGATCACGGAGCTGTAGAGCTGCATCCTCGGCTCCCCGCGGGCGGCGCTTTATAGGCGGCGCCGCCGTCGGAGCTGGGGCGGGGAGCGGCAGAGGGGGCCGCGCTGGGGCTGCCGAGGAGGATGAACCGCCCGGGTAAAAATAAACAAGGGCATCACCGCCCGCCCCGCCCCGGCCGGGCCCCGCGGCCGCAGCAATTCCGACTGCGCCACCGGGCCGGCCCCCCCGCGGCTCCGGCCCTTCTGGAAGCTGCGGGAGCGCGGGAGGGGGGCGGGGCTGCCCGGGACGTCAGCGAGCGCCGCCCCTGCCCGGCCTGCGTGCGCTCGGTGCCACGGTCACGGTCCCCCGCTGCAGCTCGGGCACGGATAGTATTCATTATATACACTCGGTTTGGACAGTCCCAGGCGAGAGACGCTGTTTGTCCACCTGCAATCCCACTCCGGGAAATGCAGTGCATGCATACACAGGTGTGTGAGATAAACCAGCACATATTAACAGGAGACACGCAGGTGAAATACGGGTCTCATCCAGATCATTGATAACTGGTTTATTAGTGCCGGTAGCACTTTAAGCCATGTCTTCTAGCCTTAGCTGCGGTATAAGCAAAGTCATAAAGCCTTTTTCCAAGGATGATGAGATCTGTACACTCTTTGTTTTGATTGTGTTCTGACAGGCACGCTGACCAAGAAACACCAGGTTGCACTATGATCAAATGCTAATACAGTCAGTGCTAACAAAATGGGAAAAAAGGTATTGACATATGGAAGTTCAAAGTGATACTTAAAAACAGTTCTGGATTCCATCCCACAGCCTCAAGTATCTTCAGGAAAGTGTTAGTAATCCAAACAGATTGTAGAACTTTAAAAGCAAACAGAAAAACAAACAGAAAACCCTTTATTTGGATATTCTGAAAAGTTTCTTTTCCTCATTCCATTTACATTAATTAAAAAGAATAAGAGGATCAGCTGCAATATACTGCAATGTCCAAGATAATTTTCTTTGGAGTCTTGGTTGTGTTTTGTATCAATGTTTAGGGATATGCTTCCTATCTTCAGTCTCTGCAGTTAATTTCAGGGCTACCAGTAACACAATATGGAATTTCATTCTCTTTACATGGAAAACATATTAGAACTCACTCAGCTAAATTGCATGTTGGAGAAAAAATGCTCAATTCCTTCATACAAAGTAAGTGGATATTTACAGGAAAAGTTTTCACATACATCTTTTTTATTCTGGATAAAACACAGCACTTTATTGCATGCAATATTGGGAGCCTTTTAATAAAGATTTACAGACTAAATACATATCCAAAAATTTTGCCTTCAAAGATGACATGTAAGAAGTATATGAGATATGAATCAAAGTCCAAATGTCCTCAGTTACCTGACAGAGCCAGCCAGAAAGTTGATATCTTTAGAACAAATGGTGATGGGCCTTATCCAGGAGCATTTCTGGCAGTCTGTTAGAGTGGGATAAGATATTACAACTGCTCTGAAATTACAGAGTGACTCTTGTATTTCAGAATGTTCAGAACTTTGTTTTAAATATAGTTTGTGAGCCCAGTCAGTGAGTCTTTATTTCTGGACTAATCATTACTTAGAGAGGAAAATATATTGACCAAATCACAATAAATTGAAATCTTTCCTCCTTGAAATGGAGGCTTGGAGCAAAGGAAAGATTCCCATCTAGTTTTATTTCTTAGTCAGAACTTGACAATGTCTATTTCCAAGTTAACATGTATATGTTTATATATATAATGATAGGAGAATTAATGTAAAACTACTGGAAATTGCCCCTTCCAAGTGGGTTAAAAATATACCAGTTGTTCTTCATTGTGTGTTTAGTCATTTATAAAAATATATAATGTATATTACTTAACGCTCATCATTTAATGCTTTTGCTACTTTTTTTTGTTTCCCAGAAAAGCTATCTGTAGTTTGGTTTAGTGAATGTTCTGTCTGGTAGTAAATGTCAGAGTTGAGTACAGGATGGTGGTCTAAAGTCTTCAATAGTCTGGTAACAGAGAGAGGGGAGGGAGAGGCAGCTCTTTCTCTTAGAGAACAGTAAATGGATGCAGCAGAATAAGAGCACTTCTGGCAGGAGCAAGGGCTGTATTTTGAATGCTCAGTACTGCAAATTTCTTTCTTCTAGGATATTATAGAAACTCCTGCTAATGACTGTTCTGCCTCTCCAAAACCATAGGTTATTTGGAACAGTGGTACATTAATGGATGGGCAGCTGTTTAATTCTGATTGTTGGTTACCATGAGGTATGACTTGAAGTTTGTGGTGCTTCATTTGAGGAGAGAAATAGATTTTTTTGTATGCCCAAATTACCCTTGTATTCTGATGCTCTAATGTAGCATATTCTGGATAAGAAAACTTGTTTATCTGAACAGAAATCCAAGGAATATCCTGAAACACATGCTAAATATGCCAGCAGGTTTTTATAATGGTAGCAGATAGATTGTTCTATTTTTCACTTTTTGCTTATAAGCAGATATAATGTCTTTCCTAAATGTTCAGTTAAAATGCACATAATAAGCTTACTAATAACATTAAAATACAATCAAGATCTGTTGCTAGGAAACTGAGAGAAAAAACAAACATTGTAACCACTGTCTTGATGTTAATAGTATACTACTTTTGATGTCTTTATTATGTCCTGTGTGAAGTAAATGGAAAGAGAAGCTCACCTTGGTGTTTTACCTGTGTTGTTATTAAGTCCTGACAATGTAATGCAACAACATTTTTCATAAGTGAGCAGCCAGAGTTAGTCACACGTACTTGGCCTGAGGGGAATCCAGTCTTTTGGATGACCAGTGACAAAAATCCCATTGAGCCTCTGCCACACAAGCATCTCATAGTTGGCCTTCAACTCTCAAACTAGGAGTTACCAGGAATCAGCACTTCCTAAAGGTCATTTTCTTACATAGAAATACAGATATCTGACAGGTTTTAACAATAACATCCTAAACCATGGTCTACACCAGGGAGTAATCATAGAATGGCCTGGATTGGAAGGAATCTCAAAGATCATCTCGCTCCTGGTCACCTTCTGCTAGACCAGGCTGTTAAAACTCCATCCAACCTGGCCTTGAATGCTTCCATGGAGGGACATCCACCACCACCACATGCAGGACCTGGAATTATCAAGTGCTATGAGTACAATTCTGGTGAAATAGAAATTTCAAAGAAAAATTTGAAAGCCTTTAATGCAATAGTCTATAAAAGCCAGGGGCACATGGTTCTGCTGCCTTTAGTGCCTTTTACTACCAGAATATTGGCCTTTAAAATTTCTTTCAGCTACATATATAACTGCTGTTAATTCCAAGGAAAAACTAAATTTTGCTTTATTATGACCCAGCTAAAACACAACCCATGTATGGACTGCTTCCAGAATACTCCTGTATTTCCAACTTCTGTCCACTTTTGCCTACAGGTCGTGGCCTCACAAGCACTAGGGGTGTTTGGAAAGTGAGGAGAGCACACTATGGATATGCCCTTCACTGTTTTCCACAGAGTAATATTCCTGAGCTTCTGATTCACTCATTACAGGGTAATGTCCAGTCCTTTGCTCTTACAGAATAGATCTCAAAACAAGCTCTGCAGTAATAAAGCATAAACATCTCCCATGGTTAAAGTTTCTCTTGACATTACTGTTATCACTGGTTACCCTGCACATTCCAGGAATACCTTAGATTGTTTAGAAGGCAAACCACAATCACAAAAACAGCTGTGGAACAAGTGGTATTCACTGACGTAAAATGAAATGCATGAGAGTAGAACTAATTTTAACTTTAATGTGTAGTAGATACATGATTGACATAGAAGAAACAAATTCATTACATCACCAGGAACATTTGCTAGTGAAGAAAGAAGTTGGCTAAAATGATGTAGTGAAATGCACTAAATAAGCATTTCCATTGCTTCTTTTTTGTTTTGTTTTTTTTCTGCTGACATGACAGCCCTTCAGATAAAGATATTTCTGACTGAAATGTTTAATTAATTAATAACTTTTTGTATATAACTTGAAGATGAAATGTTGAATTTATACTAATAATCTGAAGTGGTATACCAAGGAAAAAAATCTGTAATATATAAGAAAATAGAAAAATATATCAAGAAACTTCCAATACAAGGAAGAAATGAGTATAGACTTCAACTAGAAGGAACATACTGACAAAATATCAATTTCATCCTCTGTTGCCTGCAGATTATCATATCATCATATCATATCAATCATTTCTTTCATAAAATTACCAGTTACGGGTAACTTATTTGGGGTATGGTCATAAAGCTGTCACAAGGCAACAGAACTGCCAAAACAACAAATTCTGCCCCTTCCTGTTCCCAGTGTCTTTTTTCTACTCCTGGTGCCACCTGCTTTGTGATGGCCTAAGTGTTAGTATTAACTAAAGTACCTAGTGCATTTCACCCTAAATGTTAACATAAAAGGAGGAAAACTGTATCCACACTTCCAATGAGGTGTGAAAATGTTGCATAAAACAAGAGTTGTGTCTCAGAGAGCTTTGCCTCACAATTTGTTGTTCAGCTTCTGCATATATTAAAATTTTATTCATGGTATGGGTGCACCAGGCATTGGAGATGCAAGCAGTGCTATGACATCATGTGGCAGGAGTTTGTGGAAAAAGGGCTGTTGGTGATAAATATAGACATTTGCTCATGTCTCAAGGCCTCAGCTGGGATCCCAGTTGATAAGTGAGTCTCTAAATGTGAGCGATGACGCAGATCAAGCCTCACATTTCTGCTCAGAAGTGTGGATGGCACTTGCAGTGATCATTGTGCACAGGGCCTTAAGGTGATACCAGGAAAAAAAAGGAGGGGTGGGAATCAACAATGCTGTCTCCTCTGGAAAAAAAACCGTTAATAATGTGGTAATAATGTTAATAATGTTACATAGACAAATTTTATAATGTGTATGATGTTTAGAAAGGTTATCTTCTCTATTTTTATAAACCTGATGAGATATAAAAGTGTTCACAATGTCTACTTTTTTGTCAGTTACAGGAAATCAGTCACCTTCTCTCCCTTTCAGGTTGGTTAATGGCAATTTGGGGTTGAGGAAAGTAGATCCTTTGGCTAAGACTAAGAACAGAACACAGTTCTGACAAGGACAGACTGTGAAGGAGGTAGGGGAAATAGGCAATACAGAAATACCAGAAGCAGGAAATCACCACTCACAATTACAGGAAACATTATTA